ATTATCACTATCATTATTATTATTATTATTATCATTACTATTATTATTATTATTATTATCATTGTTATCATTATTATTAGTATTATCATTATTAGTATTATCATCATTAATGTTCTTTTTTTCTTGTTGATGTTGTTTTTGTTGTTGCTGTTATTGATATTATAGTTATTATTGTTGTTGTTATTATCATTATCATTACTATTATTATCATCATTATTGTTGATATTGTCATTATCATTATCACTATTATTATCATTATTTTTGTTGCTACAATTTCTATTACTTTCGATATTACTATTACTATTAGCTTTGTTTTCAATATTACTGCTACCATTATTTATAATTTTGTTTCTATTACTATTACTATTGCTATTATTCTTGCTATTGTCATCCTGATTATTACCATTATAGTTATAATTATTATTGTTATCATTATTATCATTTCCAATATTATTATTATTGTTACCATAATTATCACTGTTGTTATTTTTATTACCGTTATAAACATTACAATTACTATGGTTATGGTCAACATTGTTATCATTATTACAAATATCCATCATATTTCTTAGAAATTCCCGACTCACATAAAATCCATTTATATATTCACTTATATACAAACTTATTAGAAGAAAATTAGATTAGATTTATCATTATGTTGTAAGTTTTGTAAGCTTGTTTTTAGGTTTCTGTTTTAAATTGTTTTAGTTACGTTATATATGGCCTATTTATTCATTTTTATCTATTCATTTTTCTTCTGTAGGTAATTTCATATTTGATATACTTTTAATTATGCTCACTTGCCTTTTACTTTCTGTGTTTGGTTTAATTTGAGCTCCTTTTTTCTATAGGATGCGTTGTGTTTCTTGTTCTATTTCCTCTTTCCTTATATAACAGCTCTAATAAACTATATAATATTTCATCTGTAACTTTTTTTTTTTTTTTAAGTGTTAACATCGGAGGCCTAAATTGTTAGGAGGTTCAGAGAGGGATAATGGGGTGAGTAATGTATTTTTTAATGCACTATTTAACTTTATTGTATTCAACAATGATAATGATAATCATAACAACGATAATAATGCTAGTGATAACAGTAATACCAACATTTATGGTATTTATTTTACCTCTTTCTTATCTTAAATTGTTAACATCGGAAGTCTGAATCATCAAGAGCTTCAGAGAGGGATAGACATGAGGTGAGTAATGTACGAAAGTACGAAAGAAGAGCAAAAAACATTTTCTTGTGGCACGAGTGAAATATATATAATTCTTTGTAACTCCCGATTATTTAATAAATTGTTAACCAGTATATAAGTATGATGGTCCTATACTGCAGTCCAACCAGTCAGCTTTTTTTAAAATATAGAGATAATAACCAACAAAGCATATAATTATATTTAGTGAAATAAGGTATACACATAAACATATAAATCTGTATAATGAGCATGAACAGATATATTAACACTTATATAATTGAACAATGGAAATTAGATTAAAGAAAATGGTAAATTAATAGATGATCTAATGTGAAAATACTATCAATAAAATTATTTGATGATAATTGATCGAAAACGGAGTTGAAATCGAGCGGTCAGAGCTACCCTCCAGTTTTAACGTAGACTATTAACAGCGCTTCGGGCACACACGACCAGACGACAACGCTACAATCGACAACACAACAATTAGTGACATTAGTGATCCATATGATATTTCTACAATAATTTGAAATTACGACCTTACTTCATCTCTCTATCTCTTTATATACAGTAAAACCTGAGAAAACCGGACCCTGAGAAAACCGGATCACTGTCCATTCCGGACGATATTCTCAGTCCCTTCCCATTTCAATAGGCGGCCTGTGTTAAAAGACCACCCTCTCCAAACCGGATCACTGTCCAAACCGGACATTTTTTACAGTCCCATGGGTGTTCGGTTTTCTCAGGTTTTACTGTATCTGACTAGCTCATTCACTCACTGGTCACTCTCATTTGAATTCAAATTTGCAGGGTACTGAACACGTCCACTGTCAACGGCTGGCGACTCATTCTGTGTTGGTTGCTGAGAGTTGTCAACATTGCTTGGTGCTCTCCGACCCCTATTTCTGCCTACTGTTCCTGGATGTCTGCCTCTGCCTACTGCTTGCGAAGACTCATTAATGCCTGCTGCTTGATTAAACCTGCCCCTATTGCCTGATTTTCTCCGCCCCCTTCCCCTGCCTGCTCCCCTTGGACATTTGTTGGTGTCTGGCGTTTGAAGATTCTTGCCGTTGTCTTCTGTCCGTGGGTAGTTATTGAGGTGTTCTGTTTGTGGATATTTGTCACTGCCTGCTGTATGTAATTTTTTGTTATTTTCAGCTGTTTGTGGACACTTGTCAGTAAATGTTGTTTGTGGATACTTGTTAGTAAATGCTGTTTGTGGATACTTGTTAGTAAATGCTGTTTGTTGATACTTGTTAGTAAATGCTGTTTGTGGATACTTGTCAGTAAATGCTGTTTGTGGA